AGAGTTTTTCCTAATATCCTACCTAGACCTCCCCCACACTGCCCCTTGAGACCATTGCTCCTCGTTCTGTCATCTGTCACCACTGAAGTAAAGGCTGCTTTCAAATCCCCCCTCACTCTTCGCGTCTGCAGACTAAACAAGCCCAACTGCCTCAGCCTCTCCTCTTAGGTCATATGCTCCAGCCCCCTCATCATTTTGGTTGCCCTCCGCTGGACCCTCTCCAATGCGCCCACATCCTTTCTGTAGTGGGGGGGCCAAGAACTGGACACAGTACTCCAGATGTGGCCTCATCAGAGCCAAATAAAGGGGAATAAGGACATCTCTGGATCTGCTGGCAATGCCCCTCCTAATGCAACCTAATATGCCATTAGCCTTCTTGGCTACAAGGGCACACTGTTGACTCATATCTAGCTTCTCATCCAATGTAACCCCCAGGTCCTTTTCTGCAGAGCTGCTGCTTAGCCAGTCGGTCCCCAGCATGTAACAGTGCTTTCCTACCATAATTTCTGTTACAATGCAATCCAACACCCCAACTATTACACTGCCCTACAGAGTATCCTACTCCAAATGCACATGAGCCCAAGGCACAAAGTTCTAGATTTTCCCTATGCCAGGCAATAATATATAATTGTGGCCCCAGTGCCCCTGCACCTCAGACATTCTTTGCAGTTCACCTTGGCAACGGAAGCTGTAGGTTCTGCTAACACTGCATTGCCATTGACAAATATATCAGACAACTCGGGAACTAAACCAGAAGAGACATGAACATGCCAGAATTATTTTACTGCTGTATCACTTACTTTTCTGTTACTGAGCATCCAGTTTTTCAAGCAATGATCATTTGTCTAATGCAGGCTGCAAACTGCCCAACCAACAGCAGACAGAAAGGGAACTATTAGATGCCATGACTGGCAGCCTGAGGATGGCTGGAGTAACGTGCACAAAGTCCAGGGGTAGCAAACTGTGCCGATATGGGAAAAATTGTGGATTATGTATCAGGAGCGAATAGTAGAAGCCATAGGATGACTGGAAAGTACTAACACACACTGGAAAGAGAAGCCAAGTCACTAACAAAAGCACTATACAACTGTGCTGTTAAGAACTACCTGACAAAGTATAGGACATGATTTGGAACAATAAACCACACCACAGTTACAGATACACAGACATCAGACCAGTTAAATCTACTCAGACAACCCTTACACTATGTACTTTGATGAAACAACATTGCAGATTGCACCGACCTATGAAATCCCAACCCCCGGTGACACGCAACGGACCAAACAACATGTTCACCCGCAGTATTTTAGGGCTGTGAGTGATCATGAGGCAGACCCATAGGATACAGCAGTGGTGGCCTGTGAGATTCAGGAGATCAGACTGGAAGATTTGGTGGTCTCTTCTGGTCTTAATGTCTGTGACACTCAAGACCTATTGGCACTTTCTGGTCAACATTAAGGATGTAAAGGACTAGTCTATTCAATAAACAAATGCTTATTGGATAGTCAGCAGAATTGTCGACTAGTTGCTCCCCATCCCACCAAGTTAGCAAGGGAGAAGAATAGGGGGGTACTTAAAAGCGGCAGCGCTGCTTGGATCCCGGGCTCAGTGTGGCACTGCTGCTTTGAAATGCCAGACCTCAGGCTCCATGCAGCATTTCAAAGCAGCAGCGCCGTGTGGAGCCCAGGATCAGCTGGGGACTGACCCTGGCTTCACGAGGTATGCCAGCTTTGAAACGTACAAGTGGGGGCTCTTGCGCATTTCAAAACATAAGCGCACGCGTGAAGCCTGGGGTCAGCGGGACTTCCCGCCGGCCCTGGGCTCCACGCTGCATTCCCACTTTGAAAAGCACAAAGAACTCCCGCTGGGGCTCTTGTACATTTCAAAGGCAGAACGCAGAAGTGCTTATCGACTAGTCAATGGAAATTCCTTCGACTACTCAACTAGCAAATTAACCGTTACTGAACATCCCTAGTTAACACAGGAATGAGGAAGCAATTCCCCGATCAGCCACAGAGATAGCCCGAAGCCATGCAGCCCCAAGCAGTAGGGCAGGCGCCAGCCACAGCAC